ATAGCAAGATCTAAGCCTAATAAGCTCTAGTACGTTCTACTAAGCTCTATTAAGCCTTAGGCCTTACAAAGAGATAAGTACTAAAAGACTTTTTATTTTATACTAAGCTTAAATTTTTAAGTATATAAGCTTTTAGTAGAAAGTTATTTAATTAGAGAGACTATACACTTTGCACTTATATAAAACTACTTCTAGCTAAAATTAGCTTCTAATATATATACCTATTCTTAGAAATAATTATAGTATAGCTATATTAAGCTCTAGAAGAAATTTAATTAAAGTTTTTTTATCTTATAATTATTACTTAATAGAGTCTAAAAAGAACTTTTTATAAACTTTATTATAAGCTTTATTAAAAGTAATAGCTATTCTAACTCTACAGTTATTACTAACTATATAAGTAAGAATACTATCCTTTTCTTATCTAAAAGTATAATTATTAGAACTATTTTCTATATATATATTAAGAGAATACTTATGTATTACTAGTTTTAAGCGTTATAGTTCTTAATTAAAGTAGCTAGTCTATAAGTAGATTCTAGATAAATATAAATATAATACTAGAAATTAAATAATAAGATTAAATATTTAACTACTTATAAATTAATAGCTAAATATATTAAGTGAATACTACTATTTAGATTTGTTCTAAATATATATAAACTTAAAATAGAAATTCTAGCTAAAGTTAAATCTAAATATATAACTAGAAAAAAAAACTTCTCTTATTAACGTAAGCTTTTTTCTCTTTAACCTAAAAGTATTCTATAAAATTAATACAAAAAGAAATGTTTTATAAGTATACTTATAGTATACTAGCTTCTAAAGGTTTTTGTAGTTAATAAAAATAATAAACTTAAGTAAATATCTAAATTTATTTTAATTTAAATAGCTAAAGCATAATAAAAATAAAAAATGTTACCTAGTTACTATTACTAAAAAGCGCTATAGGTATATTTAGAAATAGAGTATAGTGCTTATATAAATTTAACTTTATGCAGAAATGTTCTAGCATAAAGCTATATTTAAAAGATTACTAGTTTTTAGTTATAGAAGTAATCTTACTACTTAAGAAGAAGGTTTATATACTATTTTAAATATATATTACTTTTATTATAAATTAATTAAAGATTAACTTATAAAACCTACTATATAGATATATAGTAAGTAGTTTATAGCTAGAAGCTTTATCTATAGTAGTAATAAAAAAGCTATAAGCTATATACTTTATAAATAAAATTCTTACTTTAAAGTAAAGAAATAAATAATATATTATAAACCTAAAATACTTTATTAACTAGATAATATACTATAAACTCTTATTCAAGCTCGCTATAGTAAGTAAGATAGCTAGTCTAGTAGATAAGAAAATATTTCAAGTCTATACTAGAAAAACTAATATCTTATTTTAAACTAAGTTCTAAAAATAACACTAAAAAGCTATACTACTAAAATTAGTAAAACCTAGTTATTTCTTAGTAAAAATAATATAAAGAATAGAGAGGTAATAGAAACTATTCTCTAATAATAGAATATAGCTTTGTTAGAATAAAGTAGTTAAATACTATAATAAATAGTATAACTAATAAAGATTGCAATAAGATAATTATAAAGTAGATAATAGGTAAAGGGTAATAATATTATTGCTAGGTAAAGAATAACTATAGAGAATTACTATTTCTTTTATAGAAAATAGCTACTAGAATAATTGCGTAAATATCTGCCTATTTCCGCCTAAAGATAAAGATTTATAATTAAATCTGCTTAATTCCTAGATTTATAATCTAAGTCTGCTAAATCCTACTTATCTCCTAGATTTATAATCTAGACTAGTACTAATTATATTAGTCTATGCGTTGTATTGCATAGACTAATAATTAGTTTACTACTAGATCTTTTAGCAATTGCAGAAAGAGAGATAAGAAAGATAAGAGTTATTATCTTACGTAATAACTCTAATAATAGCCGGGCTAAGATAAATAGAGGTGTTTTAAAATCTCCTAGTATAGCAAATTAAAACTAGCTACTACAATCTTAATTACGTAAGCAATTAGATTTACTAGGAATTATTCTAGTTTGTTAAGAAATAATAATAAGTGCAATCTTAACAAAGCTTAATAATAGAAAAAAGATAATAATAACTAAGTTATTATAATCTTTACAAATAATAGAGTAGTAAATAGAATTTAAAAATAATAATAGAAGTAAAGAAATAAAGAGAATATTAAAGTATAAATATATATATTATAAAGAGGTTATAGAGTTATAAAATTATAAAAAACACTACAAAAGAGAAATAAACTATAGTAAGAACTAACAAACTATAGAAGAAATATATAAACTTATTAACTAAGTTGTATGTTTTAATAGTATTATATTATTTACTAACTCTTATAATACTATTAAGGTACTACTTTAGAATATAAAGACTATTATACTTATTATATACTCTATATAACTTCTCTCTTCTATAATTATTTTTCTTAGTAGTATAATACTTCATAAAAGTTATAAAGTACGTTTACTAAGCTAAAATTAACCTATATCTAAGGTAATAATGAATACTATTAGTAATAGTATCTTTTAATAAGTATAGTTAATATAAGTAATTTTAGTAATATATCTAGAGGCGTAGATAATGTTTTAGAGAGTACTAAAATTAAAAATAGTAGTAATAGTTATAGTGTAGAGCCTGATAGTAGAAATAAGAAATATAGATTTAATACTTTAACGCTATATAAAGTAAAGAGAAAATAATCTAAATAAGATCTAAAGTTTAATAAGAAGGAGATAAGCTTAAATAATATTTTATAAAAACTAGTAATAAATTTAATAACTATTAAAGAACTTATTGTAAATGACTTAGTAGTACCTAAAACTAACTTATCAATATAATTTAGCTTAGGTCTTTTAAGTAGTAACTTCTAAACTTTAGTATTAAAATAATTAATAAGATTATAAATAGTAAAGAATATAAAATATATATATAAATAGTTCTTATAAGTAATTAATAATACTAAGTAATACTATTTTAAAGCTTCGAAAGTACTTTAAAAAGTTAGTTATAATAATATATATAGAAGAAAAAGAAAACTTACTATAGTATAGTAAGCTTATAATTTTCTAATACTAGTTATAAGTCTAAGAATACTACTTAAAGATATAAAAGCCTTTTTTCAAGTTTCTAAAAGATTAAAATATAGTATAGATAGATTTTAAGCCTTTTAAGCTTTCTATAGATATTTCTAGTATTACTTTTATAGTTTTAGAGATTTAGCTTCTTAATAAAGAATCTAATATACTAGTGCTTAAACTTAATAGGCTAATATATAAGCTAGTATAGTAAGTAGAGTTAAAAGTTTAATGTAAAATCTTATTAAATTAGAAAAATACAAAAAAAAAGCTTTTCTATTTTACTAGTAGTATTTGTTTAAGAATATAAAGTATAATAAGTAAAAGTAAAAATTTTCAAAAGTATAATACATAAAGTGAATAAAGTATATAATTTAAATTTAAATTACTAATCTTTATATATTAAGAGAAATAAGTAGTTTAAGTAAATATATTATTATTATAAGATAGTATAGTTAGAACTCTTCTAGCTTATATACTAGTATTTAGCTATTAGATATTAGAAATTTTTTTTTTTTAAATTCTTCTAGCGTTAATAAGTCTATTTAAAGCTAATTTTATTACTAGTTATATTATCTATCTCTATCTCTATCTTAATTATATTTTTAAAATATCTTATATTACTTATAATAGCTTTTATAAACTATTCTAAAACTAGTACTAAAAAGAAAGACTTTAGCTAGGCTATCTTAGTAATAACTATAAAAACTGTTTTTAAAGCTCTTAAAGTCTATCTTATCTATTTAATATCTTATTCTAAGACTACTAATACTATTAATACTATTAATATTACTTTACTAATATACTACTAAACTACTACTAAAAAGACTTCTAATATAGAAACAAAGACTTCTAATATATAGACTAAGCCTTTTTATGAATTTTTATTTAAGCTAAGCTTTTAAGTAACTTACTAGTAATATATGAAAGTTATTTTATAGATTACATATTTTTTAAACGTAGTAATAAAATAATTATAATATACTAGTAAAGCTTTTTTTTACCTAAAAGTAATTTTTTTCAAAACTATACTTTTTACTTTATATATAAAACTAGATTATAAATAGCTTTATTAATTAAAATTAAGATAGCTACTATATATTAGTATCTAGCGTTTAGTAAAACTCTTAGCTAGACTAATTATAATTAAACTAATAGAGAAAGAGTAAATTAAGCTTACTTCTAGTATAATAATACTATTACATAGATAGTAGCTATATTAGTATTCTAGTATTATAGTTATTTCTTAAGAAAAGTAGTTATTTTTCCTAGCTTAAGTTATATTATTTTAATAGCTATATATTAAATATTTTCTCTCTTAGTAGAACTTTAAAAGTAATATAATATTTATTAGAAGTCTTAGTACTAATAAGAATATATACTAAGTATATTAAAACTTTTAACTCTTTAAGTTTTCTAGTATTTCCAAGATAACTTAGAGGCTATTTATTTTTTAGTATTCTTTTTATATTCTTTTATTTAATAGAGTCTATAAAACTAGATATAAGATATAAAATATACTACTTATCTATATAATATAAATAATGTAAAATAAATTATTCTCCTATAGCTTTCTTTTATACTATTAAAATAGAGAGTAATAAAAAGTAATAGTAAATCTTAGAATGTAAAATTTTGGAAGCCTAATCTACCTCTATTAGCCTCTCTATAGTGCGCGCAACCGAACCTTTAGAGGCGTGCAATTCTTCTAAGGTTTAATATTGCCGGGCATGTAAGTTTAGCCTGAGTTAGTCCTGGGCCGCAACCTGCAGCCTAATCGCGGGCTACTGTAGTCAGCATCAGCTACAAAGGCAGGTCGTCTCGGCGTCCCCGCGCTTTCTTGCTACCTGCAACCTAAACACGCCGACATGTCTAGGGAGATCTCCGGACCAACGGACAACGCAAAACCACCGGCCTACGAAGTCTATCGCGATGCACAGCGGCCCATTGGCTTTAGTTTCGATGCCCAGCGTCTCAAGTGGGTTCTCGACGGCCCATTGATCAGCGCAATTGAGGTCATGCATGACATCAAGTACGACCCCAACATCGCGACAGAGCCATATGGTGACAAAACAGCCTCGACTACCACCTGGCATCCGGTATCTCAATTGCCCCTTACTGAACCCAAAATCTCCTCCGTCATCGTTCACATTGACAGTCTCGAAGACTGGGAAGTCCAGTGGCTCGAAATCCATCGCTTTTGTCACGACCCTGAGGAGAATGGAGAAGACCCCGAAGAGTTTCTCTTTGGAGAGCTTTCAGATTATGATTCGGATTCAGATGAGGAGGAGGAACCGCATCTATTGAGGTGTTGTCGTGCTAATCGGCCTCGGAAGAAGGGTGAGACTCTACTCGTTAAGGCAAGTGGCGCATACGTTACCATCCACGACTATGTTTCGGCGGTTCACCCTTGGTTGATGGATCGACGTGAAGATATATTTGGGGCGGAAGGCGATTTGTTGAAGAATGAGCCACTCGCAGCGGGCACCAAGCTGATGGTCAGTGGCTTGCCGGATGAAGTGCACTTCTACACAGTGGAGGATTGGCGACGGAGCATGTTGGGGGAGACTGCAAAGATCAACATCCTGGACGGGCGCTCAGCGTGGGATCGGCCTACGGACTGGTCATTTCTGCCAGCATTGACAAACCCATCTTGAATGTTCTGGTCCGTGGCTACTTCCACGGGAGAAGCAAAGACGTTCAGTTCTTGATGTGTTGCGACGAGTGAGTGGATATACGCCTGAGGTATGGTGTCAGAGGCAACGTCTCTCGTTAGATCAGTTTCGCGAACACATCTTATGAACCAAGGCGCAAGGCTGACACTAGCAAACCCAGTTATATAGAGTTATGTAGAACTACAGTCCGCCCTTAAAACCTTAGTCTCCTCTCTCCACTATCCAATCAAACCGCTGGAGCCTTCACAATCTTGACAACAAGTTCCTGTGGCCTTGCACCTGAGGCCTTATAAGCAGGTGTGTTGTATGCAGGGTTCTTGTCGTCAATTGTGACACCCATCATACCACCTCCAGATCCACACGCACCCAGCAAAGACTCAGCCAGTTGAGCAGAGGTTGCTTCCGCACCACCATCGATAGTGCGAGCCAGATCGTAATAGGTGACCGAGGAATTGGTGCGTGGTTTGATGTGCTTGGTGAGGACAAGCACGGTACCGGCATCGGCGATAGGTAATCCCCACTCCGAACAGTCGAATTCGGGTGGCATCGTCCACAATGGATTGTTGTTGTTGTCGGCCAGATATCGCAAGTACGATGCGGCATATGCAATGTCGGCCTCGTCTATGTTTTGCGCTTCACCACCGCCAACGCCGTAGCAGACACGGCCATTAGTCTCGCCGCAAGCTCGCTTTTCCATTGGTGCTTTGGTTTCCGCTCTGAGCTTTAGAGGGGTATCTCGAGATCTGCTGGATTTGAGGCCGGACCCTGAACCTGGAAGAGCATAGAGAACAAGAAGACAGAAAATCTGCATAGCTGCGTTGATGTTCATAAACAGCGTCTTCGTAAACAAGGTGCCAAAGCAAAGATCAACAAGGGGACATGGAACGACTTCGTTATGGAGTTGTCACAGGTCTCGAGCTTTTCAACTTCCCGAACGAAGCTTGGAACGCAGGAACAATAAGCGTCTAAAGGGCTTCAAGGTACGCTTGATTGTATGCACACTGCGCATGTGCAAAATCGGCCGCATATGCGCATTGATGGCCGGTAGTATATTGTGCTTACGGCCAGGCCGCATATTGCTTACCGGCTACAAGCTTGACCGTGCCACCAACCAACATCACCACTATCCGGCCGCGCAAAGACGTCTCAAATAGTCAGTACTATACAAATCCTAGATTGCAATTCTGCTGGTGAGAGCACAAACACAGTATAGTTCTTTGATAACCGCAGGGTGGAATTTACCGCAAACATGCATATATTGCGCAACGCAGGGGCGGCAATGTTCTGCGTGCCACAAGGTGCAATACAGGCTTTATCGAGGATGACCACCTGCGTTGAAGGCTGGAGACTGATCAGGACTGAGGCGGGTAGGCTAACCCAGATCAATATCACGCGTTCTACTGGCAATCGAGCGACGAGTTCCAAGGGAGGCGAGATTGCGCAGGATCGCACCTCCTCGTATACTCCCGGCACTGCACATAGCTGAGTGCACTGTTGACTCAGTACCTTTTCACTGAAATCACTTCAAAAGTCGCATCACTCTTCTATCGATGATGATGTTTTTCAAGCGAAGCATGTTCGTACCATCGATCACATTGTCTCTCTTGCCGTTGTTTTCCCTCGCCGATGATTGCCGTCCAGTCACATGGTCCAACGATGAAAATGTCGCGCGCTTCGCAGAGATGACAGGCGCCCCTATTGCTTCAGAGTCAAGCGACAGTATTGCGAGCAAAGCCGATAGCAGGATTAAAATTCTGGAAGTAAAGCCTGGCGAGCTCAACTGTCGAGCTTGGGCCAGAACTCACGATACAGTCAACTATTACACCTGTACAGAGATCTGCAACAAGTATGAAATCACGACTGATTATTTCTTCTCGTTGAACCCGACGCTCGAGACAGATTGTTCCAACATCCAACCCAGATCCAGGTATTGTTACGACGGCTGTAAGTCCTGGATGCTAGTCTCAACTGGACGTGCTCCAAGCAGCGGTCATTGACATGGAAATTTCTAGATATCGAGCCCGTGAGAGCCCTAGACGGCCTTTGTGGCCCAAAGCACAACAATGCAACATGCCTTGGTACCGAGTTCCCGTGCTGCAATGCCAATACATCTATTTGCGGTGCATCGAAGTAAGAGTCCCCGAAGCATTCGAAAGAGATCCAAAACACACGGTCTAATAATCATCTAGGGAAGATTGCGCTGATGGCACATGTTACGAGGGCGGCTGCCTGGGCGACAAAATCTACAGCACCGATGGGACTTGCGGTTTCGAACACGGGAATCGTCTCTGCGCAGGGAAGTGGGGGAATTGCTGCAACCTTGACGGCCAGTGTGGAGATGGTGCTTTGTACTGTAGTTTCACCTCATGCCAGTCAGGGAACTGCACCCATCCAACACCCACCACGAGTTTTTCCGTACCGTGGCAGACCGGTACCACACCAGATGGCAGCTGTGGAGGCCCAGACAAGTACACTTGCAATGTGGTCTATGGGGGCTGTTGCAACAAGAATGGGCAATGTGGAGTCTTACCAGTGGATTGCGGTGCAGGCTGGTAAGTCTATTCTTTCTCATTCATGATCTTGACTTCAGTCTATTCTCATAAGCTAGAACTGACATGAAAGTCGCAGCCAACCACAATTTGGGCAATGTGAATCCTCATCGTCAACAACCGCAGTCCACTCGCCTCCATCATTGTCTTGAAACAAGGCGTGATCAACATTCACGTCTCCAAAATGACCTTTATGGCACACAAGTCGTGGTAAGCTGAGGGTTATCGTTCAGATAGATGTGAATGATTAATCGGTACATCCCTGATTCTCTGCCACATTTTATATTGAGCTTATTTTGGAAATCCCTTTGTCCCACATAAACGTGACATTGCCTGTTCATCGATACAGGATGCACGCTTACAAAATGACATAAGGCACCGTCCTCAATCTTCCACGCTGCATCCGCAACATGCTATCCGGGTCAGCGGCCCCATGTTTTGACCTCTGATCGACCCGGAGGCAAGTAAGTCATCATTTATCCAGGCGATGTGTAACAAATGTTCATTGCGCCTGTGAATTTAATTGGAAGACAGCCGTGTCCAGAAAGGTACCCAATAATGCCAAGGCAAGATCATGGTCAGACAATATACTCACGGCTGATCGCTAAGCGCAACGGACGATCAAATCTAGGAAGTCATGCGATGCATAGATTGCCAATCTACTGGGCGACTGCCTGTCAGCTTCTACAACGTGCGTGACAGAATTCGTCATGATCGGTTGAGATATGGTCAATCCCCGATGGAATGCAGGGTCTTACAACCTGATGCACATTTACAAGTCTCCATTCGGTGCCATCCTGGCCCCCAAAGGATGACTGGCATAGCGCAAGTCACTATACACACATGACTTTGGTCGGATTATACCACTGAATGAACAACACTGCTTTTTGACACTCCACATCCATAGCCTCTCCTGTTTCTCACGACAATGGCATTGCTGAGGCTGATTACGTTTCTTTGGGCCTTCCAAGGTGTTCTGCTTGTCCATTTGGCCTTGGCTCAATTGAGTCAGGACTACAGTGTCCGACCGGTGATTGATCCGCTCACTAACAGCTGGGTGGATGGATATTTCTAGTAAGTTCGGAAAGACAGACAACGATGCTGAGCTGAGTGACTAACGGAACATGATACAGCCAGCCTCAGGTCGGCGCAGTAGAAGAACGAGTGATCGACATTTCGCCAAAGCAAGTGTTGCTCGTATACAACTGCTACTACATGAGAGACATCTGCCAGAATGCGTACAACTGGTATGGGCGATCTCCCCGCGTGAGGGCTATTCGTCCAAGTTACCTACCGCATGACGTGTTCGGCTATGATTTTAACACCGGAAAAAGAAGCCGATTTCGATCATATCAGCGCCGAGCGCAGTCTTGCCCAGGATCTTGGAAGAACAACCATGCTTGCCCCGAACAGGACCAGCATGACGTGATGCGAAATGACGGCGTGTGGCCGTACAAAGATCTGGAGCCTGGCACTTCCATCAACCAGATTAGGAACTATCGTCTGGGCGCGGGCATATCACTTTCCAAGATGCGGTACTCGTGCGATGAATTCCCTCCAGCTACATGGGTCGAGGGTGGAGGCGATCGAAACGATCCCAACGTGGCATCGCAGACACGCTGTGCTGCCCTGAGCTGTGCACCTCGATGCAAAGCCGAACAGAATTGGCAGGCCGACGCGCATAACAAGCTTCAGCGCCAGCTCAAGTCCATCATCATACAGCAGAAGAGAGCTTCCAATAACCTATTGCATCCCACGTATCAAAATAAGAATAGCGTAGCGCTGTTCACCTTCACAGCTGAGAATGTGGCAAACGGCGTGGCTGCAAGGGTAGTGACGTACGAAGACCCAGCCCGGACGATCTTCTCTGGCGAGAAGGTCGTCAATCAGGCGAAACGAGGAACCCCCGAAACAGACCACACGAACAAATCGAGTGCATTCTTAGCCTCGAGATGGGAGTTTTCAGCGGACCGTGTCCAAGAACTGATAGACGCGGGTCATGGTGGCCAGTACATCGTCCCGGCAAACGACTCCGGCGGGTACGACTCATGGCCCGAAGCTGATCTGACTGGCACAACGGTACCAATGTCTTACATGAACTCGACTCGCTGGACGGATGAGGAGGACGACGACGATGACGACATCTTCGACGAGCATTACGATGTCGATGAAGAGAGCGAGATGGAACGACTTGAGTCTCGTGAAGAAGCTATAGATGTCCAAACCGAGCCTCGCAACGAACACGTGTCTCAGTCATTTCCCTTAGTCGCACGACAGTCTGACACTAGAAATATCTCCGCATCTGATATCACTCCTCTCTTGACCAACGCCTCACTGTCCGACCTGGCAAAAGCGCGAATCATCGTTGAGAAAGCTATCGCGGAGTCTTCCAAGCTCAACCAAGCTCGATTGTTGAGCCCTATGCGAAACAACTATGGGCTGAAGCCTGGCACTTCCATCGGGCAATCGAAGGTCAAGCGTCGTCTACGTGCAAGAGAAGACGGCACACCAGTGCCACCCCTCCTAAACATTACCGACAGCATCGCGGATGCTGCAGCTCTAGTCGCTGAAGCTGATGCAGCTGGCATACCCGGAAATTTAACGAAGCGCGCTGTGGCTGCCAAGGGCACCTACTGGATGGGCAGTATCGACAGGAAGGGTACGGTACCATGGGGCGACAACGCGACATACGCAGTTTTCCGGAATGTGCTCGATTATGGTGCAGTTGGTAACGGTGTCACCGACGACACCAAAGCGTTCAAAGCCGCCATGCTAGACGGCAAACGTTGCGGGAAGGGCTGCAACGGCTCTACCCTCAAGAATGCCATTGTGTATATACCGCCAGGCACGTACCTGATCTCGACCACCATTCCCATGCCATTCGGGACGCAAGTCATTGGAGATGCAAATGACAGGCCAACCATTCTGGCATCTAAGTCGTTTATCGGTATGGGGGTGTTGTCGACAGACGAGTACACTGGCGGAGGGACTGGCGCTGATGGTCTAGATGAGGAGTACTACATCAACACGGCAAACTTCTACCGGCAGGTTCGCAATGTGATCATCGACGTTAGACAGACCCGTGCTTCGCAGAAGGCCTCATGTTTGCATTACCAGGTTGCTCAAGCTACGAGCACGCAGAATGTACTCCTCATCGCCGGTCCGACACAGAATGGCATGTATGCTGAGAATGGCAGCGGTGGGCAGATATCAGACATAACCTTCCAAGGTGGAGCTATCGGCCTTTATGGCGGTAGTCAGCAATTCACAGCCCAACGCTTGAAGTTCGAGGGCTGTACGATCGGCGTCCATCTCATTTGGGATTGGGGTTGGGTCTGGAAGTCCGTTACCATGAACAACGTCGGCACTGGATTCAAGCTTGTACCCGACAGTACTTCTGGTGCAGCGGCGGGCAACATAGGCTCAGCGTCCTTCCTCGATTCGTCTTTCAACAATGTCAAGACAGTCGTTCAGATCTCACCTTCCACTTTGACAGTTGGGTCAGGCAGTACTGGGCTCATCCTCGAAAACATCAGGCTTTCAGGCGTGGGTACCACCGTCGCTGATACAGGAGGAAAGACGATATTGGCCGGTTCCTCATCCAAGATTGACGAATGGGCGATGGGCCCGGTTTATAAGGGCTCGGCTGATAAGAAAGACCGCAAATTCACGACAGGGGAAAAGGTCGGAAGTTTCCGCCGCCATTCAACTCTTGTCGATAGAGATGGAGCATACTTTGAGCGTGCCAAACCCCAGTACGAAGACCGTCCAGTTGGCGACTTCGTACACATCAAGGACCTTGGAGCCAAGGGTGATGGAATCACTGACGACACCGCGGCGTTCCAAGCTGCACTGCATTCGAGTCTGGGTAGGATACTCTTCATTGACGCTGGCTCTTACATACTCACGTCGACGGTGACGGTTCCTAGTGGCACCAAAATGGTTGGCGAAACCTGGTCGCAGTTGGTTGCTTCCGGGTCATACTTCGAAGATGCGCTCCATCCCAAGGTGATGCTCAAGGTCGGTATCAAAGGCCAAACAGGAGATGTCGAGATGCAGGATCTGTTCTTCACTACACTCGGGGCGACGGCGGGAGCTGTCCTGGTTGAGTGGAATCTTAAAGCGTCCAGCCCCGGATCGGCTGCGTTGTGGGATTGCCACGCCCGTGTTGGAGGCGCTACTGGGACCAAGTTGACGCCGAAGGAATGCCCACCAGTCACCAGTGGTGTTGACCAAGGATGCAGCGCCGCAAGCTTGATGTTCCATCTTACGTCGTCTGGCTCGGCATATCTCGAAAACGCGTGGTTCTGGGTTGCAGATCACATGATCGAGTGAGTACCATCTCTTCTTCCTCGGTCTGCGCCTTTGACTAACCCACCTGCAGCGACCCTGATCTCGAAAGCGGTGCCAACAACATGGAACAAAACTCGGTGTATGTTGCGCGTGGCTTCTTGGCTGAAAGTACCGAGCCGACATGGTAGGTCCAGCTCGCTCTCCGCTGTCGCGATCCTCGCAGTCCGACTAACGCAAACTAGGCTCTACGGTGTTGCGTCTGAGCATGCAGTGTTTTATCAGTTTAACTTCCACAGAGCCCAAAACATTTTCGCGGGCTTGCTCCAGACTGAGTCACCATACTACCAACCCACGCCACCTCCACCCGCTCCATTCAAATCCGCGCTTGGTGTTTTCCCGGGCGACCCTACATACGAATGTGCGGCCGGCGATGAGTTCAGTGGGTGCGACGAGTCATGGGCGATCATAATGCGAGAGTCGCAGAATGTGTTCATCGCAAGCGCGGGCCTATACTCTTGGTTCTCCACGTACGCGCAGACCTGCATCGACCAGCAGCTGTGCCAGAAAGCTTTACTTTTGCTCGAGAAGAACTTCTCGAACGTCAGAATTCAGCATCTCGTTACCATCGGCGCCAAATACATGGCAATCATGGATGGTAAGGGCATACTTGCCAAGGACAACCTCAACGTCAATTCCCACCCTTTTTGGTCGCAGATCTCTGTGCTGGACGTCAGCAGCAATGGCTCCATGTACGACGAGTACATCTGGGTAGATCCCAAAATTTGGGACATGGACCAGCCAGCGTTCACCTGCTCGCCGCCTTGCAACGTCAAGGTTCCTCCATGGACCCGTGCAACAAGCACACTGAACTATCCGTTGATCACTGTCAGCGACGGCGATTGGACAAGCACCATCACGAAACCGCCCATGACGATATCGGAGTGGATATTTGAGCCCGTGACACTGACTGGACAAGCTGTCAACCAGAAGCGCCAGGGCTTTGAGGCCTTCTGGCCCAAACCCGCAACCACACCCCATTGGCCTTCGGTGATCTATGCCGGCCCAGATGGTGAGTCTACCACGGTAGGGCCTAAGATATCGTTTCCAACGCCACCACCATCTGTCGGTCCCAATGCGCAGCCACCACCGACAGGTAGCTGGCCCAAACGGCAGATTCAGCCAATCATCGGGCAGCTGGAGGAACCCTTGGTCAAGGAATGTAGCTTCATTGACTTCAGTTGCCTGACCGAACCATGGATCTTTGGCCAAAACAACACCATCTCAGATGGGGACGACGACGATTTTGATGAGAACTGGGAGGACAGCGACGTTGTATGTCCATTACCGAGCAGTTCCTCATCTAGCTCTTCGTCTTCGACGAGGACGACGACGACCGAAGACCCGCCAGAGCCCACAGCATCTCCGCGCGAGGGCGATCCAATGCAGAACAAAGTCGATTGTTACGGTGGTTTGGATCAGAAAACAGAACATGTGCGCATGGACAATGCCATCAATAGCTTCTGTGGTGGACTGGGGAGCCCTGGTGACGTCTTTAAGGAAGACTACTTCAAGTCGATAACCTTCCCATTTCCCCAGGGTTCAGGAACCGGTGTTCAGATCCTCATATCGCTCAGCGTGGAGAAAGGCTGCCAGTTCAAGTATAGCTACGATCTCTGCCACAGATATCTAGAGGTTCCCGTCAACAGCTGTCAATGTGGAGGCACAAACGGTAAGCAGGGTGGTTTCTTGAACAACGACTGCTATGAGTGGAGGATCGATCCGCAGACTGTGTTTTAATGGCGAAGCACTATTCGCTGGCTGTGTTTACCGTTTCGCGATCTTGTGGCAGTAGATGTAATACTTTCGAAGAGTTCTTTAGCTTGTGCTGTATTCGCTTTCTAGTATGTAGTAGTCGATGGTCAACGCCAAAGTAAGGCCGTGTGTGCATTCGAATCGATTCGCCTGCCTAAGGAATATATGTGCCGCTCTTCCCTGATGGGTCGTAGTAGATCTGATGCCTTATTCAGTGAAACGTGTTTTCAGCTTTAAGAGAAGGCCGGCTTACTGCGTTCTGGCTCTCACTGCAATTCCGGAGGGAACAAGTGTTTCCAGTAACGGAGACAACATCAGGAGCTGCTGTTTGTACAAGGTGATCTCCATTCAGCTATTTACGGCTGTTATATCGGTGATTCTCGAACCCGGAAGTACAAAAATTTCGCAAACTTCAATACGATAATAGTACACCTGATACAGGCAGCAGCCAAAGAAGAAGCGAGCGACAGTCTGAATCCAACGAGCACTTCGTGTGTGGACTGGGTAACAACTTCAGTAAAGGAATGACAAAAGTGCCTCCTCCCAAGGCACATGATACGAACTCAAAAAACGTCCAAGCTGTGGTAAAGAGAAGAAGATGTTGACTATATGGACATTGCTTGGAAAAAAGGGCTCTCAAAACGACACGCAGTCGCGAAGCAACGAAAGTTGGACAGCGCGAAGAGACAAAGGAACTATGTCGAGTGCTTCCTAAACTCGCTGTCATTGGCGCACCTCCCGGTAGGAACACCGCCAACGCCATGCTGCGAAAGACGTGCTTAAAATTTAATATCAAATGCGCAATTTAATGAATATGTGCGGGACGACTGCCACGATGCTGCCTAGGGGTCCACTGCACTGTTCGCTCGGAGGGTTGGGTCTGGGTCGGGTGTCGTGGCAGGCTTTGCTTTGGGCGTGGGATCCGGATCCGGACTAATCGCGTCCTTCTGCGCCTTGGGAGTTTCGATGACAAAGTCAGTCACATCATCGCCGGGTTCTTCGGGAAAGAGGACTGGCGGTGTGAGCGACGTAGGCGCGACTGCAGGTACGTCAAGGCTACCCTCATATTCCTCTGCCGCACGCTCCTCTGTGATCATTGGAGGCGGAGAAGAAGGTAGGGTTGAATCTGGCTGCCCAGGGTCTTCGACAGAGATGACGCTGCCTCTGCTGTTCGTTCGCATCATCTCAATTCCAAGTTTCGACGTGGACTTTGGTCTTGACCTTGGACTCCGAGTGCGCACTGGAGCATGACCCAGCTCGTCATCTTCGTCGTCCCCAGACTCTGCCGACTCGTGTTTGCGGGTCTCCAGAATGCGACGTTTGGCACCGACTTGCTCTGTCGATCTCTGGCGGCGGATCGTTGCCTCCTCGAGAACGGCTGGCGCGGAGTCCCCGTGGGGCAGGTCAGGTGCACCAACACGATTGGGAACAGCTGCTTTCGCATCGGTATTAGCTGCATCATCGCAAATCCCTAAGCCACTCATAGCTCGTGCGATGTCGCGCTCCCGCCAATCGTCGGCGTTGTGGATTCTAACTGGCATATCCTCGCCTGCACGACTGTCGTTGTCACCGAAGAAGCTAGAACTAATAGAGTCTTCGCGGCTCGAACCTCGGTAACTGGCAGAAGGGACGGGTGGGTATCCTGAAGAATTCGAGGTCGTGGGGCTGTCCTCCTGACGCGAAGACTCTTGTCGAAGCCCAGAGGGCATCATCGATGGATACAACTGGTTCGGCGTCCAGCCTGGCGGGGGTGCTTTCCATTGGCACAGTCTGCTCAACGTGTCCGTAAGCTTCGCCACAGTAGGAGGCTTTTCGATAAGTGCATCGAAATAGTGAGGCGCCTGCAGCTCCTTCAGGTATCCAGTAACAGCGACAATCGGAGTATGCGTATTGGCGTTCTTGGTGTCTCGGATCATGCGAGCGACATCTGCACCATTGACCTGAGGAAGGCGGAACTCCATCATGATGACATCAAATTTGACCTCGCCCATCGCATATCGTATAGCTTCTGAGCCATTGGTAACGGTCAAAGTGCGGCAGCGCAACTTCTCAAGCAGCTTCTCCATGACAAGCCGTGACACTGGGTGGTCCTCGCATATCAATACGTCTAATGGTCGGAAGAAAGGACCGTCACCAAAGCTGATCTGCGAGAGTCTTCGAGAACTCTGACGTCGTCGCTGGACACGAAGCAGCGCTTTCGCACGAGAGTCTTCCGTGTCCGACGACGATGGAGACACATCAAGCACTTGACTTCGGCGCTTGTAGTGCCCAGGTAAGAGATCGCGCACAATATCGTCCTCTTGAGACCCAAGCGTTTGGGACCGAGCACGTGGTGAAGAAGCATTGGTCTGTGCCGATGACTGGCGTTGTCCAGTGACGGGCTTCTCTTGAGAAGCCACGGGAGGTGCCGACGGTGTCTTTGAAAGCCTGTTTGGTGAGACAGCTTCTGGCGATGGCCGCAAGCCTGACACACGGGAAGGGTCGAAGAAGCTTCCAGGTTGTAGCGAGGATGGGTTGCTAGTCGAATGCGACAACGTAGACGAGCTACTAGACGTCTTGCGTCGGTCGTGCTGTCCCGTGCTGAACTGTACGAGCAGAGGAGATGAAGGCTGTGAACCACGACTTGGCGAGGAATGTGGCCCGCTCATCGAGGGAGAAGAGGGCCGTCCGGTGGCTCTGTTGGAGGATAGCGTACGTTTGAGCGGGCCGGGTAGCATCGGGCTGTTCTCCAGCGATGGCGATGGCGACGTGACACTGGGCGACTGCAGAGGCGGTGCGGGCTTGTTTTGTGGAAGCATAGCTTCTGCACGCAACTTCTGGATGACGTCCTTGTTTGCCTTCTCCAGAACAGGCAAGTTCTTGTAACTGAAATTACCAAAGTCGTCAGTTGCCATTGGTTCACTGAGTCTCCTAGACCGGCCTTCCCGCACATGAGCTGGGATATGGAGAGGGATCAGTCCTCGCTTCATAGTCGAGACAGTCACCTGAGAGCGTACTCTAGATAAAGCATCGTGTGGTCGGTCAGGATAATCGGTACTTGGGGTTCCTGCTGGTGTAGTAGCTTGGTCTTCAAACTCGGGACTGAAGTTTGCCATGGCGGCTCCTCTGGTGTCGAAATATTCCGTGTCCTCTGGGTTTTCAGGTGCAGGAATGAAGGATGCTTCGTCATCTCGCAAGGTCTCCCAGTTGACATCCGCAAACCACGGATGGCTGCGAATTTCCTCTCCACCACTAGCGTATTTGTCGTCCTTGTTCGCTCCAAGACGGTGTGCAGGATCAGAGCACATCAACCGATTCATCAGATCCTTTGCATCGTCTGATATGTCGTATAGCTCATCATCATCCTCTGGCCAGTCGATTCTACGCGCGAGAATGTTTTGGAACACCTCATCGGGCGTATCAGCGTGGAATGGAGGGTATCCGTACAAAGATTCGAAGAGGATGCAGCCTAAAGACCACCAATCGCTGACTTCATCCTGCCCATTACCAGCGATAGTTTCAGGTGCAAGATAGTCCGGTGTCCCGACGAATTTGCGGTCGCTATCTTCTGGGTCGAACAGAGCCATGGGTGGCGGTGGCATTGCTGACGACGAAGGCGCCAACGCACTATTTTGAGCTACTGCAGAGTGACTCAGAGAATGTGTAGCAGGGTAGAGGTCGGGAGAACCATCGTCGCTGTAGGCCTCCTCTTCTATCGGTGACCGTCCACGAGGCTGACCAAAGGAATCGTCAGCTATACTGAAGCGACGGAACATGGCTTGTAGCGCATCACTGTCTTGGCTGTCGCTCCGCGTGCCTGAAGTCCGCCTTGAAGGCTCACGACTCTGTTGGGAACCGTCCCGATTGAGGCTAAAGTACGACGGTTGACCGATGTCTCCAGCGAGAGCAGGTGTCATAGATGGCGTCTGTGAAGGCGAGTGGTTCAAGTCAAAGGATGCAGATCGTGAAGAGCCTACAGACGTAGCGCGATGGAATGGGCCAGTTTTGAGCAGGTCCGGCGCAGGCTCGACAGACTTGAGTGCACGTTTCTGTCGGCCAATCATACCCATTCGCGACAAACCGAAATCAGTCAGTTTCAGATGACCTTTTCCATCGATGAGCAGGTTGTCCGGTTTGAGATCGCGGTGGACAATGCTCCGACTGTGCAAGTGTTCGACACCAAGTACCACCTCAGCGAGGTACTTCTTCGCCCAGTCTTCTGGCAAAGCACCCAGGACCTTGATGAGCGAGGCGCAATCGCCACCGTTCAAGTATTCCATGACGAGGTAGAGATAATCCTTGCTAGAAAATGTCCAATACAGCTTGGCAACAAAATCACTCTCGCCTTGCCACATCATGATAGCTCGCTCAGCCTTCACGTTGGTGACCTGATTCTTGGCTACCATGTCGGCCTTCTTCAAGACTTTGATAGCGTAGTATTCTCCAGTGGACTTCTTCTTGGCTAGGTAAACGCTTCCGAAAGCGCCTTTGCTGATGGGTTTGATAATCTCGAAATCCTTTATTGACGGAGGAACTGCGCGTGGCTGTGGCTGAGTGGTGGGAATCAAACGAGGAGAGACGGGTCTTGGGCCGTCTGAACCCGCCGTGGACGACTGTCTCCGGTGATGATTAAGAGCATGCACCATTGCTGGCGAAGAGAATTCGGTAGTCGGCAAGATTGGCGACGTGATTGGTGATTGTAAGGCCTCCATGCCACTAGGCAGGCGCGGCTTGTTTGTTCGCAGAGGAGAAGATGGCGGAGGTATCATGGAACGGGCAGGCGAATGTTGTCGACTAGACATGACACTCGGCAAGATCAGACTCTTGCGTTTGCGTTCACGTGAACTCGCTACCCTACTGAGTCCTACGTCGGATGTCGCTGGTGAATCAGCTCGGCGAGGGCCAGATAGCACGGATGAACGCATGCTGGTATCACTCTCAGCACCAGCATCGCTCTCGAAATGCATGGATTGGCGCTTGCTGTGGGTCGCTATACTGATGGCGCC